TAATAATAAAATATAAGAGGGACGTTAAATCATTAATATCACGTCGTAATACATGTATGTACATATTATATTGTTAATATATAGATATATACACACACATATCCAGTATACGCATGTATGTATAAAGAAGCGGTGTATATAAATAGAGATACAATTATAAATATAGATTAAAATATATTTGGTATCAAAACCATTGCAGGGAAAACGTTTGAAGGAAGAAAACGTAGTATATATATATATATATATATACATACATATAAATGTATATTTATATATATTTAGTAAATCGCTTTGCATTATTCTCGCAGTAGTACGTAAGACAAAATAACATAAGTGCCTATGTGTCTTGATTAACAAAATGTTTATAGAAAATCAAGCGGATAAATAAAGTGACCTTTTCGTTAACGAAGAATACGAAATTCATTGTTGAGTAATTATTTTTCCATATATTGTATTTTAAACCTGTTTTTTCTTCTCTTCTTATTATTAATATTTAATAAACATTCACACACATTCGATCGAAGAATAAAATATAAAGATATTTATCTTTTATACCCTATCTCGCGATTTTTGTATGCAGTTTTAATATACATCGAGTATAGATGAATTAGTATGTTTCGACGAAGAACATTGAATAAAAGAAGTTGGCGCATAAATAAGTAATATATATCTACTTAATTGTAAGAAGATGAAAAATGTTTATCGATACAAATCTCAATTTATGTATACAAAGAATAAAAGGATATACTTAATTATTTCCAAAAGATACAAATAATGTTGTGCACTCGGGCAATTGCTGAAATTAAAAAATATTCGTAATATGGACTACGATGCTCAATTATAAAAATGCGTTTCAACGTTTTTCTTACTTTTTTTTTTTTTACGATTGTACGTATCACGATGATGATTTTCAACGATACTTTTTTTTTGTATATTTTTATATTTTTTATCTTTTTTTTTTTATTTAATATATCAGGCGGGATTTTATTGCGGAGGTTTCGTATTAAAAGATACCGTCATTCGTCTGATTTTTTTTTTTTTTTTTTAGAACAACGAAGGATTTGACAGGCAGTGTACATGTGTTTGTATGTGTGTTTTGTAAACGTGTGCTTGTGTGTATGGTAGGAAGAAGTATAGGAAGACAATAATTGGCTCATAAAATAAAAGATAATATAAAGAACAAATAATTTGAGGTTTTTTTTCAATTTCCTTGCTATTTATGACTCTATTAAAAATATATTCTTTCAAATAATGATATATATATAATAAGGAATAAAAGTTGTGATGAAAGAATATATATATATATATACGGGGAAAAAAACAACCCTTAGACATCCTGACGTTAGGAACAATGGATATCGGGAAATGTGGGTAATATAAATACAAAAAGGTGTAAACGATAATAATCACAATAATGGATCACAATATCTCGTTAATTATTTATCCAAATACTGTAAATTAAAACTCTATTGTTTTAGTTTTTCATTGCGACACACTTATTTCTGTTTATAGTGTTTTTTTGTTTCTTTTTATCTTTTTCAATAACAAGTAATTTATCATCATAGTTCGACGATAAGAATATTGCACTAAGTTTTAATTGCAAAGTTTGTTTTTGTATTTGTAATAACAAATGTTTCCGTTTAAATAACCCGCTATGTGTTCGTGTTCGCGCGTAGTTTAAAGACTATTCACGATTATTTTTACTAATTAGTAATAATACATCTCTCGTAGTATATCAAACCTCGTGAAAATTGTAACAAATTCAAATCTCTCGGTGCATCGCCAGGAAGGCATCGATCATTTATTACCCGTTACTTTTGCCTGCAAAAGTTATGACATATTTATGTTCTTATATAAACCGCATATTACAATTAAGGAACACACACGACGTGCACGGTCTATTTATTAAAAGTTAATAATAAAATGCTAAATTAATGAAAAAATTTCTTTAGAAAATGCAAACTCTTTCACGGGCCGAGTTATCTCTAAAATATATAAACACTATTGGTTCCTAATATTTGCAAACGTTTTTGCATCTACGTTTATCTTTTATAGCAAATACTATTACAGATTTGTCAATTGGAAGACTTGGAAGAGATATAATGCAAAGATAGAAATAGAAAGGGATAGGATATATGGAGGAAATCAAAATGATCAAATTGATGATAAAGGTAATTATTTCTGGAGGGAGTGATACGACAGATGAATGTGATTAAAAAGAGAATAATAGGGTGGAAAGGGGGGTGAATGGTGGTGATAGGTATACACATGATCGCTACAAAATTTAACATAGAAGATAGAAGAATACTATCGAAGACTAGTCGTGATCTACGTTCGGAATATGTATTCGCAATCACCACGGATGTGTCGTGCTAATCGCGTTATATTATTCGAACGAGACCGCCGTTTTTTCCGCTTCTCGGCTATATAATATATCACCATCAACGCTTCAATGATTATTAATTATTATTAGTATCATCTTATTACCGCATATGTGAATTCTGAGTGCACCCGGCTTATGCACCAATTATATCTTATATATAGAATTATAATTACTAGATTTGAGATCCAAGTGAACAAAGTTTATGATGAACATTGACTTTGCTTTTATTCCATTTTTAAATTTTGACGAATTTTTGATAAGTATTATGGTATATGCATTTTATATATTATTATATTATTTCGTTTAATCTCTGTTCACTTGTTCTTTTGATTGCAATCAATCATGCTGAGAATGAGACGAATAGTAGTCATCTCTTTCGTTTCTTTCTTAAATATCCGCACTTGTGTGTATGTGTCGAACAATTTTTATATATAAAATGTGTGCTTTAAGTGCGAAATATCAAAAGTGTGTTATTAAATACATGACATCTATATACTCATCTATATATAAGTATTGCCGAAAATATGCATTTATTGTTATAATATACTATATATGTGTGTGTATATCAATATATATATATACATGATACATTTTAGATGTATTACATATATAAATATATTAATATTTATAAAGGATATCTCGAAATTTCTATTACGAATTCTTAAAGCTTGAGTAGATCAAATTTTGAATAGAAACTAATTTTATCTACTCATTGTCAGTCTCTTCTACAAGTTCTAGGAGTTTGTAATAGATTTTTCGAAATACCCTGTATGTACGTATAGAAGAATTGTTAAGTTGATATGTCGTCGAAATAGTAATCTTATACATATCACAGTACTGTGATCGAGAATAATCATAATCACACGTTATCCTTCTTTTTTCTTCTTTGATACTATTTTGCGCTTCGCTTAGCCCTCGATTCATTTATTTCTTCCTTTTTTCTTATTATTATTTATTTATTTCTTTTTTTTTATATCGAAAGACAAGGAAAATGTGATTTTTAGCGAGGCACATATTTGAGCTAAACTTGAAACCGAAGTTAAAATACGAGGGAAAGCAAGCTTTTTTTTTTTTGTTGTTGACTTCTTGCAATAAAATCTTAATCAAACATAATTTAATTTTTGATAAGGTTTAAAGAAAAAAATGGAATAAAAGTAAAATAATTATGCTTGAAAGAGCCATCATTTTTTATCAAATTATTTTTTATGCAAATATACTTAAATTTAATTTTTAGATTGTCCGTGTTTAAAGAGTCTTTCAATTATAAAAGCTAAAGCGAAAATACTCGTCACTATTTTTCCTTTGGATAAAATACTTGGCCCTTAATTCATTTAAAATTCCAAATAAGCTTTATAGCGAAATTATACATTGATAATTGATCATTTCGCTTTTGTATCAAAAAGTATATCTAACTCTGTTAAGTTTCTTGGCTCTATAATAAGAATAAATGTAATTATTATTCTTATGAATTAGTTTTAAATATTCTTGTAATTTTTGGTCTCGTTTGTTGTAACTTATGCCTAAATATTGTCTTGTCAAAAAACTAAATTTTACGTAAATCAATATCACGTAATATCAATATCTAATTTATATTTTGTTTTTAATTTCTTTACTTTCATATGTTGCATACGATTTGCAATTAATTATTTTAAACAATATTTTTGTCGAGATAATACATATATATTCTTCGATTTCAAGAAGATTCGAACCGCTCAAAATATGTTATAGAAAAATAATTTCTTTTAAATAGTTTTTTTTATCGATGAAGAAAAAATAAATTTCGCGGCCCGTGAATAGCGATAACAATCAACAACCATTAATTTTTTAAGAAATGCTAGCCTTCGATTGAAATAGTTATGTGTACACACAGATGTTTGCGTTTTTAAATAATCGATTACGTATCGTTAAATTTAAAACGGACGAAGGTTTTATCTATATCCAGAATATTTCAATTGATACAGATAAACATTTTGTAAAAAATAAAATTAGTAAATAATAAATAAATTAATTAATTTAATATACCTTTAGCTTGACATTTATAAATCAAATATATAACGATGAAAAAATATCTTTGTATCAATTTCATCTGGATTTAGATATTTCAGTACTGCACAATTACATTATACATAAAATATACTTAAATAATTATCACTTGTATTTAAAATTAATCTTGCATCTTAAGCTCGTTAAAAACATCATAATAATATAAACCTAATATGTTAACATATCTTAAAAAGGAAATACCAATAAAACTATTACATAATTATTGATTATTTTAGAATTGGATTAAAATTCTAAAATAAAGCTATAAACTATCAATTAAAGCTCATCCGAAATAAAAAAAGACTTTCGACGTAAAATATCTTTTTGTTCAATAATAATAGCATAATACGAGCTACAAATTTATCACATTTTCACGATTCAAAAACTTTTAAATTAAAAAAAAAATTTTGGAACTAAAAGTCTTTTCGTCTAATAAAAATAACATAATATGACTTACAAATTTATCACATTTTGACGAATCTACAAATTCCGAAATACAAAATGAACTTTAGAAATAAAATGTCTTTTCGTCAAATTAGAAATCACATAATATGACTTAAAATTTTATCACATTTTGACAATGCAACAAAGATTTGACAATTTTATTAGTTTTTTTTTCTATTTTTCTTTTTGCAATCGTTTAAAAAGTGACGGAGGAGTTTTAATATGCTGTTCATTTCTATAACCAATGCCTATTGTTTCCTACGAGGTATTTACAATTCGATAGCAGGAACTGAGTGTTATTTCAATTCCATTGACTGTTTCTATTATCAATTCCTTGCTTCAACAATTTATAACTTTTAACTCTCCAAACCAACTCAGTAACAATACGTACTTAACAACATGTATCTAAACAATAAACTAATAAAAATGTGTGTGTGATATATATATATATATATATATGCAGGGTATCTCAAAAGGTAAATAGGTTTTTTTAACACTAAACCTACCGACGTATTTATGTATATTTATTCCTACTGTGAGCGATCAAATGATCTCTTTAAAAAATAACATTTATTTTAATATAGGATGAGATTTTAGCCAATTGGATAGTGAACAATATATTTTCTTTTATTTAGAAATAAATAATATAAATTTTATGCGTTTTTACACTACATTTTTTTACAAATTACAAGATTCATACAAATTACCACATTTTTACGAATTATCGGACGTGGTCAATTTGACCACGCGTGGTAGGTTTAGTGTTAACAAATGGCAGTAATAACTCAATTTTGTAAAAAGTGGCACTTTGTCTTCTTATGTATAACTCTATCTAACTGTCAATGATAATTATTTGTGATTGCTTGTCATTTGTACAATAAGTCTTAAAAACGACTTTCTCTAGAAAATCCTTGAAACTCTTAAATAAAGCTTTTTTGGTCATAAGTTTATTTACCTATTTTATCTCATTAACACGTAATATAAGTTCGATTCATACCTTTCGGGATATCTTGTATATATTCATATATGTATATTTAGAGTTTCTCCTGTTCATATATTTCCGAGTAAATATCTTATAACTGGTTGCAGTTATAAAAAAAGTTTATCAACAAAAAGTTATCCTTCTATAATTATATAATATATATAATTGTTTTCAATATTTTGCATTGCTTATGCGACAATCGAAAACTTAATAATTAAGTTAGTCAATTTTTCATTAGCCAATATGAAAAAATTGTCGTCAAACTTGAAATCAGGATTACAAACTATCAACTTGCAAAAATTTACAAATACAGTGATGCCTTGCCTTGATTTGAACGATAATCATTCTTAGGATTACTGTCATCAAAGGCGTGATTTGACAACGTGGCTGTGTACGATCAAAAAATTCTAATGTTTTAGATCGGATTGTATAATGAAGAATCACATAATTATATAATTACATAATAATAATTATATAACATATAATTACATAATAAGATCACATAATTAAGAATCGTTAACTAAGGCCGTTGTAAACGAGGCATCGCTGTGTTTTTGATAAGTAAATAAAATATTTATATAGCATGAAATATAAATTACAATATAGTAAAAATTTAACACGCATTTTATAATTGACTCAAAACAGTGAAAATAGTTTTCATTAAACTTTCTTGAAACTATAACCAATTGCAAAGATATTTGCGATAATTTTCACACGCGTATAAATATAAAAAAATCATTATAATATAATCTAACACTATGTTTTGTTTATCAACTAAAACTTAATAAGAAAATGTATTACCTGGTTTAGATAAATTATATACAAATAAGTATCTCTTTTTCAACATTGAAAAATATCATGTTGTTTGTACAGCTTTACCATGAACTATAAAAGTTCATTTTGTCAATCAATCTTGTCTACTCGAGATATTAAAATTGGTTTGAAGAGTTTATAATAACAAGTGCAGGCACGGCAACAGTTGATTTTTTAACTAAACGATTATGTGTCTGATCGATATTCATCCATCAGCGGGCCACGGTACGACGGATATCAAATTTCGCCTATGGTCTGACAATATTCCACAAATATTTTATCCAATTAATCCTCTCAATTTAAATTCCAATTAATCATTCCAACAGATCGATTCAATTAATCTTTTCCATACATTTTCAAATCAATTAAAACTAACATAATTAATCAAACAAAGTGTCCCATTTTATGATTTCATTATTTTCCTAATTTGTATTATAAAGTAATAAAAAATTAGGATCTATTTACATCTATCCTGATGTTGAATCTAATAAGAAACAGAGAGGAAAAAACTAATCAATAATACTTTTTCTTCTATTAATGAAATATAAATCTGTGGGACATATATATATATATATATATTTATAAATATATATATATATTTATAAATATATATATAACAAAATCTTTGAGAACAAGTTTCAAAAAATCTGTATTTTCTCCGGTAAAAGACCAAAAAAACAATATTTGGAAAGCATAACTTTTTAAGTATGCACGACGTAAGGGCCCCCTGGTGGAATTATATTGATTTCCACTGTGGTTTACGGGGACCCCCCCTTTGATGTCAGGGAAGTCCTCGTGGAACCCAAAGTGCTTTACTTTGTTCTTCATCAACGGCCCCCTTAACTTGTGTGCATATATAGGCTACATTCACTCCTGCTGGAATAACAGCTGAAATTTTAAATAATTCAATATAAATATTTATTTGATAAGTGAATTTATATTAAATAGCAATCCTTTTGCTCCGAATTGCATTTTATATGAGTCCTTTGAATCTAGAGTATCTCCAATGATCTTGAAGTATAACGAGTATATGTATAAAAGATATCTATCATATGTGTATTAACATATTCATATTTTATTTCATGTGATTTATTAATGTATAATAAAACACTCGATATGTAAGTATATTTACACAAATAATTTTTGATACAAATATGTAAACATATTTGTATTATTACGTATTAATATATTTTAGTATTAAGAATTAACCCTATTTATTAAAGACTTATTTGTTAAAATATATAAAATTAAACATTAATTTAGCATTTTACTAGAATTTAGCTTTGGTAATACAATTTTAAGACATTCAAAAAGTAGAATTAATCGATTTGGCCAGTGAAAAACTTATATATTATACAAATAAAATATGAATATGCTAATACACGTATATCAATGTGCAAAAAACTACACGGAATAAAATACGGAGGTATTATATTAATTACACGTGTATACGTAAACTTTTTAGTAAAGATATAAGATATAAGATATAAAATTAATATGTACAAAATTATGACTACTGTTAAATATACGATCTTGAACAGTGAATAGTACTATACAAAACGTATATATAAGCCATACTATATATAGTTTTTTACATTTTGTACATAAAATATTCATGTTAATTAAGTATTTGGCAATACTGGATCCCTCAGGCAATTGATTATTATGAAATAATTGAGTATAAGCAAGAAGTATCAGTATTTTGAAACGATAACACTTCTTTGTACTCCAGTGTCGTATCAATAGCAGTCACATTTTCTTATAAGCATATCGGAGCGAAAGGTTTTATATATCTGGTGTAAAAATATTCACTTACCAGAAATAAAATGCCTATATTCAGCTTCCAACTTGAGTGCCTGTTCATACATTTCTTTAGCAGCCTTGGCGCTGACTTTATCACTAGGATATCTTGAGTCTTTTACCTCCTTTATTTGCTTAGTGCTCTTAAATTTGATCAATAAGACTATTGGATAGATCTGATGTCTATGAAGTCGTTCGATAGAAGCGATTGATATATCCAAGATACAATGTGTGTTCTATTGAATTAAAATCATTCTTATTAAATATTAAAAATTCCAATACAGCGTTTCTCAACCTGCGAACGTTGTTCAATTTAGAATGGGCCGAGAAATGATAACTGCTAACTTACGCCAATTCGAGGAAATAGAATTATTTGTAAGAGATTTTCAAAATGTCTTGTGAGATCGCGATGACAGACGTAATTCTAATTTATCAGATTCCTATAAATTTTATATTACGAAATAATATTTCGAGCGTGGTACCATTACAAGTAAATGTACTAGATCGCACGTTAAAGAAGGTTGATAAACGCTGCTCTAACAGGCTTTTAAGAATATCTTTAACACGTTGACTACCTAGCGAAATAATAATAAAATCCCATCAAGCCACACCTATTACGGAATGAAAAAAGATTTGACGTAATTTGTAAAAGGAAAGTTCTGAAGTGTTTCATCGATTTTTTTTATAAATAACACCAATTTTTATTTACACTTCTCACTTTACATAAATACTACAACGAAAATAAATATAACATACAACCTACCTTTCTTCTTTTATACCGGCTAGGAGCCGACAATGGAAAAGTTATTGATTTTATTTACAATTTTTTTAATTTTAATTTTATTTCTTATTTATTCTGCTTTTTAATTTCTGAATTTTATTTTTATTGTCTTTGTGTATTTTATGTTTTTCATTAATTTGGAAATAATGATAGGATGTGTGATTCAAAAGATGCTTAAAATACCAAGACTGATCATAGTGTGCTTACTCAATAAAAAATATTCTTTAAACTTCGATAACAAGAATAATAAATTCTCACTTGGAAGTTTACTAGGATCAGTGACATTGTAATCATTTTCGAACCTTTTGAATGTTATGTTCTGCATCAAAAACTGCTGGAATTGTATTGGCCCGATATTTTTTTTATGTAGTATTCATATGAAAATTCATTTTTTAAATAATATTAAACTTTTAATTTATCAAAAATAATTTTGTATAGTTTATTTAAATAAAATAAATATTCATTATACTACCATATTTTTTTTGTAATCTAAAAATAGGAGCTGTACCTTACAGATTATGTTATTGGTATAATCTATAACATTTCGGCATAGATTTCGAATCTAAAATGGCAGAATAACTGGAGACTTTTGCTTGTTAGATAATTAATAATAAAAAATATAACCGTCACCCATATATAGCTGACAACTCATCTGGCACATTACATATCACCAAAATTTTAATGACTTGGCAGTCAACGTGTTAATACGTTTAAAAGGTTTAATTACCTTTTCGCAAATATCTTTGACAGCTTGAACGGTGGTACATTCGAAATAACTTCCTTTCTTCCTGTAATCCACATAAAGGGAATCTCTTAAACCTTGCTCAAGGGTAGCTTGAGAACAATGCATAGCTTCTGCCAGGCATCTTGTGAATTGTCCAGGAAATTCCTGTAATAATTTTGTCACAACGCATTCGCTCAAGGGACCAATTATCAGTACAGGTCTCAAAGCTGGATCTATAAGGAAAATATGTAATGCATTAATTTTATGTAATATTTGGAATGAATATGTTTTTTTTTTTTATAACCACAGAGAGTGATATATACTCACAATCGAGCCTTTCGACTCGTTGATAACTGGCTGGAAGGCTTTCTTCATTCAATGTTCCACTGTCACTATACCATCCCATATTTACTCCAGTAATATGAGATAGTTCCTTACTATCTCTACTAGACGAACGTTGATGCTTTTTTCGGCGAAAGAAACTTCTACGTGCACTTGTTGTACCGCGCCTGCCTGCGTCCGTTTCTATGTCCCCTAAGGATCGACGTAAAAGTAATTCTTCTTCGATTCTAAAAAATACAAATACATGTCAATAATTATTTCGGTATCGTCATAGGTAATTGTAGTTCTACCTACTTGAATTTGCTTGGAATTATGCCACAAGTTTGGCGCCTACCAGTTTGGTCAACCATCCAAGCTCTCCAATTACCTGGTGTACCATTGAACATAGTATTATCCACATACAAAATATCATCCTTGTTGAAGTGAAGTTGCAAACTGTCTCCTACGTCTCCAACTCGATCAAACATCGCTTTAATATAAAAACTATCACCAGGTTTATCCTTGACATCATTGTATCGCTGTGGTAAATATTGAGCTATTAAGGTCACTTTATCAGCTGGTCTAGCTAATTCGAGTGCGGCTTGTTCAGCGGTTGCTTGCTTCAGATCTACACCATTGTATTCCAATATTCTATCTCCAGAACGCAAACCAGCTTCTTCTGCCAAACAGCCAGGCTGCACGGAATGAACGAATATACCAACGCCATTGCCTCCCACGAGCGAGATACCTAAGTTAGAACACTTCCTAGTTTCAATGAATAAATATCTTGGTTCACCTGGAGTTGGACTTTTACGATTTTGTTCTTCCTGTGTCGGACTCCTTACGGTCGCATTCTGTCTCTGCAATGTTGTGGCAGCTTGATTAAGTTGTGCACGTGTTAGAGCACTTCCAGTTACACGCAAGGAATCAAGGGTGGCGGAATTACGCATGTTGTCGAGAGTAGCTGAACTACGTAGTTCAGGCTTTCTGATATTGATATCCAAAGACGCTGAATTTCGAATTTCACGTTCTCTTTCTTGCGTAGACCTAACTTCCAAAGAAGCAGAATTTCTTATATCTCTTTCTGCACGTTTTACGCTCAGTAAATTGGTAGTAGTAGCAGTAGTGTCGCGTTCGGGCTCGGTGCTTTCCAAAGGTTCGATCGAAGGTTTCCTTGGAACTTCTGGGCTGTTACATGGTGTTGGTGAGCCACTTCTGGTGCCACCTTCTCCAGCAACAGCTTCCGAAGAACTTGACGATGCCGATCCTTCAAGTTCGTTGTACTCTTATAAAGAAAAATATCACAATGAAGGAGATGTAAACGATTTTCAAGTAAACACTACAAAACATGTTATAACAACAAGATAGGAAGAGAATTTTATCTTTTTTATTTTAAAAATCATGCGACATCGATAAAGTGCGTATGCCGTACATAGATGTAAAAAGGAAAGCTACCGTTCGTTGTTGATAAAATGTGCCTGAACTAAGAAACAACACTTACTGTCTGGACTGTACTGCACCAACATCGTTATGGAATTACCACACTGGCGTAAAACATTGGCAGCTAGTTGGTAGGTAGCACTTCTCATATTAATTCCACACACTTCTAGAAGTTGATCACCGATTTGAAGACCAACTTGGGACGCTAAGCTATGCTCACTAACGGTGGAAACGAAAACTCCTCCACTTTCCAAACAAGAAATTTGTATACCCAGTGGTTCGACCGATTTGTCTATGTGAACTCTACGTAGTTCACCAGGAGCTGGCCGAGGTTGAGAGTAACAATAATCTGGCATGCTCGATCTCTTGCTACTATTGCCTCCCCTGATGGTTCCTCCTGTACTACTTCCATTACCAGTTCCAGGACTGAGAACCTCTACATGAAAGGTCGGCATTGGACTGCCTCTTTCGGACGTTCTTTCTATACTTCCAGTCGAAAGTTTACCAACGCTGTTTTTTGATGTAACACTAGGATTGGACGGTATACGAAAACGTTGATTTTCCTTTTTTCTTGGGAACGTACCACCTTCGTAACCATGAGTGTATGCTGGCACATCGTATGCCATGCTGACTGGTGGAGCACGAGGTTTGTGGTAATGCAAGTCTACGGAGGGTGTGTGCAAATGACCAAAACTCGTTTGCGGACCCGGACTATACGGAGGCTCGAAACAGTAGGATCGTGCATCAGGAAGTCCTATAGACTCTCCGGATTGTGCAGACGGCAATGACGGTGGTGATGGATATCTCGAAGGTAAAGAGTTTTGCTGGTGTGGATGCGGATGCAAATGTGTGTAGGGGGGAAAAGAGAAATTACCAGCTAATTGTTGTCTAGGTCCACTAGTGGACGAAGTTGACGACCCAATGCCTGAATAGAGTTGAGAGTGTGCTCTATTATGTTGCAATGTTTCTACCTGGCTATCGTTACTCGTAGCGTACTTCTGTGCTTTCTTTTTAGCGAAGTAGTCCATGTCTCGACCAATATTTCCAGATTTTACAGAGAAATCGATACTTGTCTCGGATGGCGCCAATGTCGAGCTAAGCCTATTATCGGTATTTTCTATTTCGATCGTCGGCTTCTTATCTATCGTAATGTCCTTGAATTGTACTGCTGGCGTGAAGGACTTCTGACCAAAGAGTTGTCCCGATTTGCTGAAATTTGGTAATGGTGTTTCTACCGCTTTATAAACAGTATGTCGATTACTGACATTAGAGAAATTAGCTAGAGGGATAGGGTTGGAAATACGATTATAGTTGTAACTATCATACTTTGGTGGATGATTTAGAAGTACGCTCAGTGGTAGCCTTTCCTTCGTTTTTCGTGGGTGTAATATCGTACCAGTACCATTTTGTATCAATGGACCACCTCTAGCCTTGGGCCATGTACCACCGTTTTTCTCCATTTTTTCTGTTCCACGTCGTTTACTTCTTTTCAGTACACCGTTATTAGTTTTCTTGTGATAACTCTCAATAACTGAATCGAGCTCCGCTATTGCATCCTGTTCCTGTTCAAACGTATTTGGACTGGAGTTGGGATGCCTCTTCTTCTTATCATCTCGATCCTTACTAGGTTTTCGACCTCTCACGAAATCGATTTTTTCTCTTATATTATCCCAAGCATTACTGATTCCACTTTGCTTTTCCCCGCTAACAGACTTCGAAACTTTATAAACACTTCTGTCTCCAAAGTTCGAGCAAATGTATCTTCTATCAGAATCGTCTGATGTTGTTTTCAACATCAATCTTTCATGTTCAGTTTGCGAAAAATTGTTTACCATCTTTTGCTTCTCCGTTGTAAAACTGCCACTGATCGGCATTGTTTCGGAACTAGTAGCAGAAGGTAAAGAAATACCTTTTAGCGTTGTGATCGTTAATACATCTGTTGTATTGTCGTTCAAGATCGACATTGCTTCGTGTGCCGAATTTATTCCATCCATTGGTTTGCTATTGATCTGAAACATTTTAAATTACTATGTTAAATGTTTCTTTAAAAATATTTAAATAATGTGAACAGAAAAAGAAAGATATAACTTACATTTAAAACTCTGTCACCAACTGCTAAATGTCCATCTTTGGCAGCTGAACTGCCAGGTGATATTTTTGATATATAAATACCAAGCTCTAAAGCAATGCCATGTGGAATAGAGCCAACAGGAAGCTGTATAGTCCTCAACGATCTTCCAGCTAATCTTCGTCTTCTTATAGTCAATGTGGTTGGACTTACGGCACAAGAACGTAGCGTTTCTAAAATCATTCTTGAAGATACTGAAGCACAATCAAGGTTGTTAACACGTATGATGCAATCGTTTACTTTTAATTTGCCATCAGCTGTACTCCCTTGTGTCACTTGTGCTACGTAAACACCTGTATCATCAGGATAATATGGATCGTCGCGTCCTCCCACTAACCTTACACCCAGATCACGATCGGTATCCACGAGTCTGCTCAAATCCATGTGAATAGTAAGTACTTCCCACTCGTTGGCTTCCGTATCGATAGTCGTGTCGTGGCCATGCGCAATACCTTGTCCAAAGACACTTGCCCTTAATGCGTCGCCAGACTCTATCTTCTCCTTTAAATCTTTCAGCTCTCTTGAAGCTTCGTTTCGTTGTTTTTTTATATCATCAGAATCACGCAAAGCACCCGCCAATTCAGAGACAGCACGATCACGTTCCTTCCTTAACCTATCGCACAATGTTCTTATACTTTCTCTTTCTAGTACTATTTTGTCTCTCTCACTAAATGCCCAATCTCTCCTTCGTTTGGATACTTCTGCTTCTTGTATAGCTTCCTCGAGTTCGGTTTGCAACGTGTCAACTGATTTTCTAAGCTTGTCTAATTCTAAATTAGCTTGGTCTATATTGTCCATACGTTCTTTCTCCCCCTTAGCATCCCCATTATCTGTTTCACGTTCAGCTTCTTTGTTCACACTGTCTCGTTCTCGGTTATAAGAATGCAATTCCAAACGATTTTTGTAGTCTCTGTTCGCACCTTCGGAATAATCACCGAACTTTTGACGTAATTCATTACACTGCTTTAAAGATTCGTCCCTGTCTTGAAGTGCTGATGATATTTCTCTCCTTAAGGTTTCTATCTGATAAGACAATGTCTTTTTCTAATAAAAGATTTAAAAAATATATTAATTTTGTATGAAATAAAAATATTTTTTTAACACAAATACTTCTTACCTCCTCAATAAGTTGTTTATTTTGAGTTTCTAAATGCGTGATTTTATTGTATGATTGGCTTAGATCATCACCAAGTTTTTCCATTTCTTTGTGTACAGTGTCTCTTTCACCCATAATTAAACTATATTCTTGTAATGCTGCATTCCTTTCTTCCGTAAGCCGTTTAATATCTTTGCTTGTTTTCATGCGTAACACCATGGCTTGATTAATTTCTTTGACTGCTTCTTCATGTTGTTGCTGCATTTTAGCCAGAGCTTCTCTATACTCGTTCCTTTCCCTTAAAGCAATGTCCCACTGTCTTATGGCAGCGGTACATTGCTGTTTCAACCCATTACGCTCACGTACGGCAGTATTACGTTCTTGGAGAATTTCATCATATTGTTTTTTCAATCTTGCAGCTTCTTCTTGCGATAATTCCAACTGATTACAACGTTAACAGTTTATTAGTTGTAAAAGATCATTATTATTAAAATAATACAAATATTGATGTTACCTTGTTAACAACAGATGAGTGAGATGTTATTAAATCGTCATATCTCTTTCTTAGCGAGTCATAATCATCCTTGATGGCTTCATATCTTCTAAGTGCAGATAAATAATGCTGATTCATAGCATCTCCATTGTTGGTGTCAGGAACTAGAGCTTCCTGATTCTGACATCTCAATTCTGACACTTCTTTCTGTAGTACTTGTACTTCTCTATCCAGTCTCTGCTTGTCATTTACCAGATCTCCATACTTTCCACGGAGAGCGGAACTTTCTTGGGACGTTGCTTCTAATTGATTCATAACTGCTATATGTTGTCCACGGTAATACTCCAATTCTTTCATAGTATGTTCACACCTGTAAAAAAATATTCATGTTCTGCTTGTTTTTGTTCCACTTTTGCTATAACACAATCATTGTATTGCTAACATATATAGTATGAGGATTGGTATGCATGCTTATAATTAAGCATGCGGATTTATAATAACTTCAAATGAGGACAAAATAATTAAACAAAATCAAGACAAACCGTCTAACAGTATCGGAGTGTTTATGCCTAAGTAACTTAAGCTGATGCATTGCTTTATCACAATGAGCTTGTAAACCCTCATAATTGGAACGACATTCAGAACCCCCAACAGGATTTCCAACGCTGACGTAGCCTCCACTATCCCTTTCTGCATGCCAGGTGAAAAGTATATTTCAAACAACAGGCACAACACAACAGGGATATGGGATAATAAGATATAATAAAAAAGAAAGACATGCTTATATGTTAAACAAAGAAAGAGACACATATTTTAAACGTAAAAACAAAAACTATTTATTTTGGATTAGCAAATATTCCAAATTTTAGGTCAATTATTTAAATATAATCTTAGACATCTACTTAAGAAAACTGACCGATACTTTGTAGACAAACTTATCGAGCACTACAACAAAGAAAACTTATAGTAAAAATGAAATCTCGTCAATGTGCTTCTTACCCATGTTCAGTGCTCCATCTAGAAAAGAAAGAGAGATAGATATATTATACATTTTTATATAAAGTATGATTATTAAATATAAATTATATGTTATATAATGTTGGAAGAAAGATCTAGCAAGATAACAACATCAATACGTAATATCTTAATTATTGGAGGGAAAGATTCAAACCAACGAATACTTGTTCCACTAGACGAAACATTATAATCAGAATTCTCACTAGCTTTCACCAGAAAAGAAACTCTAGGTCACGCATGTAAGCATCATGATTCATCATTATTTTTTCAGTGAAAAACTATGAATGATCTCTTCCAAATTTTAGAAAGCTGATATAAAAATAATTATAATACTAATAGAAATATTGTGTCCTAATTTATAAGTACTATAGATTAAATGCTTATTTATAGTCAGACGTATTACCTAGAAATAATAATATACTATAAAGATAATGATGTGTTTTGATGTTAATGAAGATCAACATAAAAAGATCGTTATATTTCTTCATGGTATGAGAATTAATAATAAATGTAGAAAGAAAACTCACCACTACCTCCAGTGCTACCCAAGGATGATGCACCAGAAGCCATGCTCTTGTTCCATCAAGTCTCTACAAATATTTTTCTAGCAAGGTATGTGCTAGGTATCGCCTGGAAAGTACCCATATACTGTACTTTACGGAAGAGTGAACCCTTTGTGAATTACTAAGAAGTAGCCTTCGGTATGACATTAGAGCTACTATATAAACGTAGTCGCGCGCATCAGGGGGATGCAACATTGCACCTGCCACACATCTATACTGTCTGGTGCTTCAATACAAATGCACATACTGAAGTATATCAAAATTTATCATGCATGTCACTTTTTCCACGCGACCAACAGAAGACACGATTTTATACGTGTGGACGATGGTATATGTAGTATATCGTGTGTACGTGTAAGTGTGCACATTGCGTGTAGTTGGTATATATATATATATATATGTACGTGCTATGTATGTATGTATATACTATGTATGCATGTATGATGTATGTACTATGTAGGTATATACATATATATATATATATATAATATGTACTATGTACGTATGTATGTATGTGTGTGTGTGTGTCGAAGAACAACGAGAGAGGACGTATGTTTTCTGAATGGGCGTAATAAATTAATCTACGTCTTGCTGATGTGTCCGAGGTTAACGCGTATTGTTTCTTTTCAATGATTGTTACGAGATTATCGATATTCTAGGTGAGTTTGTGCTTGAACGTGAAAAGACATGTCACGGAGGTAGCTTCAATATCGCCAGGAAAGAAATTAAAAATTCTTTTGTTAGATTAGAGGCAGGGGAGGGGGTGGTGGAAACGAATAGACCAAACGGTCTCGAAAAGGTGATTTCAATGATACATGCCATGAATCTATGGCGATAATGTGCAAAGGTTCGTATTCCTTTAATGTTTCACACGAGACTTTGTAAATGCCGATCGTATTGTACATCCCGAGAACAAATAACACACCGATTTTCGTAATAATTGATCGCTCACCTGCTGAACTAACGAGCCTGACAATTAACCATTTTCGTCTACCACTTCGGCCAATTTCGTATTGTCGGTAATAAACATACTTCACGGACTATGTAGTTTAGAGGGCAGTGTCGGGCGTGGCGCTGCTGTGTTAAATAAAAGGGTTACTCCGTCGATCGTTTAAGATCTTTCTTTTTTCATATATCTTTTTATATAGATCATTTCATTTTAATCCTTTCTTTTTCTATTTCTTTTTACGTTTCTTTAATCAATGATAAGTCTCTCTCTCTCTCCCTCTGTATTTATTTCTTTAATTATAAGTTAAAAATTTATACTATACACACACTTTTTCCCGCGCAAATTCGAATTGTTGTAAAACTTATAATATTTTGTTACGGCGGGAAATTTAAATTGCGAGATATTAGTAAATTCCGACCTTATCGACCGGCTCCTTCCCTTCTTTTGTCATACTAAAGTATTGACTGCTTATTTTTATTCTTTTTTGTTATTTATTAGAGATTCTTTGTATGTGTTACAGATTAATAACTGTATTATATTCTTTGATAATATTTATCTAAATAATCTTTCGAGTGTAATCTTTTTTTGTTTTTCTTTTTGTTTCATCAAAGGGAGCACTTTATTTTTATATCGGCTAACAAGAGACATTCAGTGGCCTCGGATAAATTTGTCTTTTACCCTTCATTGAGATATCTGGAAATAATTTGTGTAAAATTAGGGGGAAATTATACTTCTTAGGTAACCTACTTTTACAAAGCTGTATTAATATTCTAACCTGGCCTTGCGTAAATCACCTATCATAGAAGATAGCCTATCGTCTAAGAATAAATTCGAATGAACGAAAAATCGATTTTATTACGATAAGTTTACTACGTGTAAGCGTTTCTTATTATTTTATATCGTTTATTGAATAAAATTTTATATATATATATATATATATATAGTTTATTTGTTTTTTAATAAATAATGTCAATAAAATTTATATAGCAAGTAATAATTATCATTAATATTATAAATAAAAAAGAAATATGAATCACATAATTATCAGTATTCATTTCTTTGTGAAACTGTTTATTTATACATTAAACTTTACATTTTGATCCAGCATTGTAATATACTTTACTACATTAGCATTAGAAAGACAATGTTATTTTGTGATAAGAACTAAACAGTTTTATTTGCACAAACGAAGAATAAAAAGTGTAAAGATAATATAAATTGATAGAAATAAATTATGTTTATTATATTTATTATGTTGATAACATTCTTTTTTAAATATATTTCTTATAATTTGCTTAACAACATATTGTAGAAAAATTTACAAAGGATCTTATCGAAGAAAAGAAAAAATTTATTTATATCGGTTTTATTTTTTATTGGTGAACCATCAGTTATCGCTGATATAAGAGTCGACAATTGTGCATTTACAAAAAAAAAATATATATTATACATATATATATATATATATATGTGGGAGAAATCAAAAGAAAAAACAAGAAAATACAGAATATGCGAATACTCTTACCAGTCATAAGAAATATACA